AGTCTCACTCTGTCACTCAGACTGGAGTGCAGTGGCCGCTCCCGACCACTGCAGCCTCGACCTGCTGGGCTCTGGTGATCCTTCCACCTCAGCCTTCCAAGTAGCTGGAACTACAGGGCTGCGCTACCACACCCGGCTAATTTTTGATTTATTGTAGAGATGCGGTCTCGTCAAGTTGCCCAGGTGGGTCTCGAACCCGCGGGCTCAGGCAATCCACTCACCTCAGCCTCCCAAAGCGCAGGATTACAGGCTGAGCCACCGAGCCCGGCCCCCAGCTCCTTCTTAAGGCTCAGTGCTGTTGATCTTAATTATCCTACCCTATCTTTGGATCCAGATTATTCTCTCGTAACTTCTATCAAAAAGACTTTTTTTTTTTTTTGAGTTAAGGTTTCGGTCTGTCCCCCAGGCTGGAGTGCAGTGGCATAATCATGGCTCACCACAGCCTTGACTTCCTGGGCTCTAGCAATCCTCCGCCTCAGCCTCCCAATGTACTGATATTACAGGCATGAGCCACCACGCCTGACGATTGAAACATTCTAAAGAAGCCTTCAGTTGGGCAAGGTGGCTCACACCTATAATCCCAACACTTTGGGAAGCCAAGATTGGAGGATTGATTGAGCCCACAAGTTCAAGACCAGCCTGGGCAACATAGTGAGATACCATCTCTATAAGAAAATAAAATAAAATAAGATAGGCTGCCATTGATTGGGCAAAGTGCTAAGTGCTAGGGATGGAAGGAAGAATAAGAGAATACTCCTTGCCACAGTGGGTGTAGGGAGGGCAGGGCATGGACCAGTCTTCATGTGTCATCACAAAGCAGCCTGGTGACGTGCTTCACATCGGGGTGTGCTTAATGCTGCAGCACAAAGGAGAGCCCAGAGCAGTGTGAAGGGGGACAGTGTGCAGAGGATGGGGACAGCCACCCAGAGAAGGAAACGCCTGAGCTCAGTGGTGAAGGATGAACCCAGGTTTCCAGGAGCCTGAGCTGGGAGGGTGTTGCTGCCAGGGGGTGGAGTCTGGGAAGCAGGCCATGTCCCAGGAATCACCAGGAGTGTGGCTTCTGAGAGAAGCATGTGCATTTAAGTGGTGGAGAAGACACCAGGGAGATCAATGGGGCTGGGTGATAGAGAAAATCGCACGCTTGGACTTCTTGAGGCACTTTCAATAACTGACATGCTTCCCAAGAGGGGTCTGGAAATTGCAGGCCTGGGTCCTTGGGTGTCAAAACCCCAACCTGTGTGGGGCCTAAAAACACAAAGTGTCTGTGCCAGTATTCCTGAAAAACAGGGAGCCATGGACAGCCTTGCTTCTCCTTCCCTGTGCTTCTTTATTAAAATGTAGTATGTTCCAAGCTCATTTGATCTTTCAATCATTTTTCGTATGCTTCTCTGTAATGGCCCACATTTTCGAGGAATCTTGCTGGGACATGAACTGTGGCAAAAAAGGACATCATTCTTCTACCAGTTGTGACTTGGCCAGAAGGATGTCTTGAAGGAAGTAGGAGGCATGGCAGTTTTATGACTGGAAAGAGTTTATTAAGATAAACTTTAGAACCTGAACAATGATGTGATTACTTTTGTGCACACATGTGGAATTTCTTCCACATTAGCACAGTAGCATGCTCCACGGGCCCTGTGACATCAAATGATGCTACTGTGCACTGAATGAGGTTTCAAACATCTGTGTTACGGCCGGGCTTGGTGGCTCAGCCTGTAATCCCAATACTTTGGGAGGCCGAGGCAAGTGGATTACCTGAGCCCGTGGGTTTGAGATCAGCCCCAGCAACTTGGCAAGACCTCATCTCTACAATAAATCAAAAATTAGCTGGGCATGGTAACGTGTGCCTGTAATTCCGGCTACTTGGAAGACTGAAGTGGAAGGATCAATCGCCACAGCCCAGCAGGTGGACACTGGGGTGGCCGTGAGCGTGCCATTGCACCCTAGCCTGGGTAACCAAGTAAGACTTTGACTCCAAAAAAAACCCCTCTGTGTTATATTTCCATTTGAATGTTAAATATATTGGCTCTTTTCTGCCTTGGAAATTGTACCCTCCTCTCCCTACCACCACTACTACCAAACACATATGCATGCACAAAGCAAGGTTTTAAAACACAAAGGCCAGAAATCCTGGTTTTTTTGTTTGTTTGTTTGTTTGGTTGGTTGGTTTTTTTTTGAGTTGGAGTCTCACTCTGTCACCCAGACTGGAGTGCAGTGGCCGCTTCCGGCCACCACAGCATCGACCTGCTGGGCTCCGGTGATCCTTCCACCTTAGCCTTCCAAGTGGCCAGAATTACAGGCGCGCGCTACCACGCCTGGCTAATTTTTTGATTTTATTGTAGAGATGAGGTCTCGCCTGCCCAGGCGGGTCTCGAACCCTCAGGCTCAGGCAATCCACTCACCTCAGTCTCCCAAAGGCGCGGGATTACAGGCTGAGCCACCGAGCCCAGCTGGTTTTTTGTTTTTTTGAGCTGGAGTCACTCTGCCGGCCACCCAGGCTGGAATGCAGTGGCACACTCATGGCCACCACAGTCTCGACCTGCTGGGCTCAGGCAATCCTTTTGCCTCAACATTCCAAGTAGTTGGAACTACAGGCAAGCGCCACATGCCTGGCTAATTTTTTGATTTATTATAGAGATGAGGTTTTGTCAAGTTGCCCAGGCTGGTCTCAAACCTGTGGACTCAGTCAATCCTCTCACCTCAGCATCCCAAAGTGCTGGAATTATAGGCATGAGCCACCGCACCTGGCCCAGGAATCCTTTTCTTCTAGTTGACCCTCAATTCCTTTCCTAATCTCTTAGTTTCACAAAATCTTTCTGAATTCACTAGAAAACTTCCTTTAAGCCGGGCTCGGTGGCTCAGCCTGTAATCCTGCGCCTTTGGGAGGCTGAGATGAGT